CTTTTTTTTTTTTTTTTTTTTGTCTTTTTTCGTGTCCGGCAACGGATCGCAACCCTCAGTGTCGCGCCCGTACCGGACCGGGACTGGCAACGGGATCGCAACCCTCGGTGCTGCGCCCACTCCTTGCTCAGCCAGTGAGCGGGAACCGGTCTGTATGTGGGATCCGAACCCTCGGCGGGAGCGCCGCCACACTCCCAAGCGGCGCACTGTAGCAGTGCGCCACCAGGCCGGCCCAGAAATGATAAACTTTTATGATGATGCATACGCTAATTACCCTGTTTGACCATCACACATTGTATATAAGTGTAACTCTGTACCGCATAAGTATGTCCAATCAATGTGTCAATTAAAAAATTAAATTAAATTAAAAAACAAAAAGCCTTTGACAACGTATTGCATATTGAGCTCAAGTTGTGTTCTTAATACTGTGTTATGAAAATGGCATCATTTTCTCCCTGTTTCATACATGTGATTTGTTTTTTCACTTCTCTGTGAATGACATTTTTATGAAGACCAAAGTGATGTGTGGAGCTTATTGGGAACCCGTACTTTATCTATAATAGCATAAATAACTCCTCTAATAAAGATCCCTAAAGTTAAGAGTATTTTGCACATTCATTCAGAGAAGAGACACCCTGTGAGTTTTGTGGGATCCAGTCCCAAGGCCCCTTTGTATGGCATTTTCCATAGAACTTTTACTACTGGATCGTCCCTTTACTCAGGGGCTTAAATGAAGTGAAAATAGGGCAGCTTTGCGGATCTTTTTAAGGTATAAAGGGAGCATGGGGATAACCACGGAACCAAATTAGGAAAAGAAGTCATAAAAGTGGTTGCACATCCTTTTCTAAAAAAACTCCTTTCATGCCTTATTCATTCCTTATCCCTTTCATGCCTTATTGAGGCATGCTGGTACGAGTACAGCCACTGTACATGCTGCTGACTTCGCATATGTCGGGATCACAGGAGTGTTTGTTTTTTCCCCCCTTTAGGAGATGACCTGGCTTCCACCACTTTCTGCTGCTATTCAAGCCCCTGGCAAAGTGGAACCAAGCAAATTTCCATTTCCAAATAAGGTGAGCTCTTGCACCACTCATGAGGAACACACTTTACTCATGTAGACTTCTGTCGTGGTCGGTGGGTTTACCCTTGATTGTCTTTTCCTCTGTACATATTCTTGTCAGAGGCACATGAATATGATCTTCAGCAATTTGCAAGTATATATTTATTCATCAAAGAGGAAGAATCAAGCTCGCAGTCTTACCTACACTTCCATAATCGCTGCAAAATGCAATGCTTATTATATTGTCATTTGATCTAAAAACATTTGTGAAGTTGAAATGCATCTTACAATCATCTTATACATTCAGTGTGATTGTACGTTCTGGTTTTTTCCTGAAAAGCTGTTATTAAATGAATGATGTACCTTAAAATCAATGTCTTAGAATTGAAGACGTGATATTTAATTTCTCTTGGATATCTTTTTTAAAGCTTAATATATTTTCTAGGACTTAAAAAAAGATTTCTGTATTTTCTAAGGAGAGTCACAAAAAAAATCAACTACAGAATATATTTAAATTATACATGTGTCTAATAGGCTTTCTTTGATTTTTTCTTAACCATAAAACTGACACATAACTACATACTCATTATAAAAGATCAAATTATACAGATGGAAAGAAAGCAAAATATGAAAGTCCCTGGCACCCCAGCTGATTTCCCTACCCAGAGATTACTATCAGGAGTTTGGCGTGTACCAATTCAGTCATTTTTTCTGTGCATTATGGGCACATATGTACATATGCAGTTTTTAAGAACTCAAATTGTATAGTACTAAAAGCAAATTTTCAAGAGTTGAATTTTTCCTCAGATACCTACAATATGTAAATATCATTGCTAAATATCAATATCACAACTTTTAAAGCAAATTATCAAAATAATTGTTCATTGCTGTTATCACAATGGTAAATTCCATTCTGAGAGTTGATTTTTATTTCCCTTAATAAAGTGTATTTGGAGATCTTTCTTTCCAAATGAACAAATAGAGATTTCTTCATCTTTCTAAATAGCAGCAAAATATTTTGTACTATGATTTTGCTGTACTTTATTTAATCAAGCTCCTTTTGATGGACACTTTGATTGTTTACAGTTTGTTATTGTTTAAAACCCTGTTACAACAAACATGTTTTATAAATGGCTTTTCTATGCCTGCGATTGAATGTCTCTAGGAAGCATACCTAGAACAGGAATTGTGGCGCTGGAAGCATCAGAAGCCACATTTATCCTTGCCTGGGTTTTAAGAGTACTTTTATGTATCTTTGCCAATGATTAATACTATCTGGATTTTTTATCATTGTGTCTGTATGATGGATGAAAAGTCGATATTTCATTGTTTTAGTCTCATTTGCATTTCCCCAGTTACTTCTAAGCTTGAGTGTTGACTGTTCTTCCTTTGTAAATTGCCATTTATATCCACTGCCACTTTTAAAAAAATGATTTGTAGGAACTTCTTATATCTTATTCATTTGTCTATTACACATGATGCAACTATTTTCTTGTAACCTTATTTATGTGCCTTTTATATTAGCAGAGTGTTTAATTTTTATGTCAGAGAAAAAAAATCTTCCCTGCTTCAACATTCTAACGTTGTTCTCTATTTTATTATAATTCTTTCATAGTTTTTGTTTAGGTTTAAAAAAAATTTGTGGGTAATGTGACATTGAGTTCTAGTTTTATTATTTTTAATGATTAGTAAATTATTATAACACTATCAAACTATTACCTATTAGCCCACTTTTCTCTCACTGGTTTAGAATACCACTTATGTCAACAGTTGAATTTTCTGTAAATTCGTGGGTTTGCTTCAGAACTCTATCTGTGAGTGTGTGTGTGTGAATATATACATATATATTTATCTTTTTAAATTGTATAGTATTAAAAGCATTTTTAAATATATATTTATATTTATGTATATTATTTATATATATACTTATATTTATCTAATTCCTTCCCAATAACTTATTGTTTAAATCACAGGTCAACAAACCTTTTCAGTAAAGGATCAGATAGTAAATAGTTTAGGCTTTGTGGACAACACCTAAATGAATGAATGTGGCTTCTCTTTGGTGGAATCTAAACCATAACCCATCTGAAGTTCCCAGGCTTCTAGCCCTTTCAATACAGAGGAACTTAGTTGAATAGTTTATCCAATATGTATTTCCAATGGCATCTGCCACACATAAAATAAAATGCAGAATCCCTACAACTTTTGCACGTAATCTGGCCAAAATAATGGCTGACCCAAAATAAAATCAAATAAGTATTTTTGTTATATGCACATTTCTACGGCATAAGTACAAGTTTTGATATAATTGGGTGCATACCAAAGCATATTTTGTTGTGACTATTCCTACAAATTTGTTTTGTTTTGTTTCATGTAAATACTTAATTGTAAGCAATAATTTAACTCCTGAGGTGAAATGGAGACTTTAAATCATTAGTGCAAAAATTTCATTTTTTTTTAGCTTTATTGAGGTATTATGACACATAAAATTGTATATATGTAAGGTAAACAACTTGATGTTTTGATATTCATCTATATTGTGAAATAATCAGCACAATCAGCTGGTTAACATATCCATCGTGTCACATAGCTACCACTTTGCATTTCTTTTCTTTTTTTATAATAATACTCCCCTGTTAGCAAATTCAAAGACCTACCCTCTTAGCAAATTTCAAGTATACAATAAAGTGTTATTAACTACAGTCACATCTCTGATATATCATATTTCATTTATATATATACATCACTTATATATGTGTTTATATATTTTATATATTATATAAACACACACACATATGGAGAGAGCATAGACATTAGGCTAAGTGAAATAAGCCAGACACAGAAAGACAAATACTGTATGATCTCACTTGAGTGTAGACTCTAAAATTGATTCATAGAAGCAAAGAATAGAATGGTAATTGCCAGGAGCTGGGGGAAGAGGTAATGAGAGATGTTGGTCAAATGGCACAAAGTTTCAGTTACGAACATGAGTAAGATCTGGAGATCTCATATACAGAAATGCGACTGTAGCTAAACGTTTTGATTGTTAAGACAGAAAGTTAGTAGTATCCTATTTTTCACTCAAAAAGAAACATTATAATCTATCATATAGGGCACAGAATTTCAAATTTAAATTTAAAAATTTATATAGGACTGCTATAGGATTTGCATGGAGCTATTTCATCTCTAGATGTTTTTGTCTAGCCCAAGAAAGAAAAAATAAGTGATTTTACAAAGTGTAGGAACATTGCATGATTTTAATAATGTCTTTTTTTAAAAACACTTACTATAAGCACTGATCATTTATCTTGTACAGACAAAACAAGACTGCATTCCTTTCCTATTTCTGCTGTGACAAATTACTTCCTCAAACTTAGTGACTTAAGACAACACACATTTATTATCTTAAGACTCGGGAGGTCAGAAATCTGAAGTCAGTTTCACTGAGCTAAAAATGAAGGTGTGGGCAAGGCTGGGCTCCTTCTGAAGGCTCTAATGGAGAATTTGTTCTCTCCTTTCCCGGCTTCTACAGGCTGCCCTGCTCCTTGGCTCCTGGCTCACATCAGTGTGACCTCTGCCTCTCGTCACATCTCCTCTGACTCTCCTACCTCTTCTTTCCCTTGTGAGGAGCCTTGTGATTACGTTGAGCCTGCCAAATAATCTCCTACCTCAAAACCATTAACTTAATCACATTTGCAAAGTTTCTTTTTCCATGTGAGGTAACATATTCTCAGGTTTGGGAATTAGGGCACAGACATCTCTGGGGTGCCATTATTCTGCCTATTACAGAGACTGTTATTCATTTTTACACAGAGTGCACCTCTTTTAACCTGTATCTCAACAAATTAGCATTCTGACAGCTGGACATTGCAGTTTACTAATTAGACTCTTAATGTTTAAGATTATCGTTGTTGCTAGTGAGTAGGAGCTAGAGTTGTTTATGGAATTTGAGGGGCAAAGTCTCCAAAATGACTAATAAACAATGAAATTAAGCACTTATTAAGATTAAGGGGGCAATTTGACCTCACAAGGAAAGTCAATTCAATTGTGCACTCTGAGTTACCAGTACCACTAAATTAATTAGCTAAATACTTCTGAGAATTTCCTCATTTTGTCTGGCTATCGAAGGACATAAGATATAGTAAAGTCAATTGACTATTTTTTTTTTTTTTCTATTTGCTGAGGACTTAATTTGGAGTCACAATTCCCTAGACAAACACTACAAAGGACATAAGATATAGTAAAGTCAATTGACTATTTTTTTTTTTCTATTTGCTGAGGACTTAATTTGGAGTCACAATTCCCTAGACAAACACTACCAGGCATTTCTGCCTCATTCTTCAAATCTCAAAAGTAATTGAATTTGGTAAAGAAAAGAATGAATGACTTCTTTGAATTGGCTGCCATTATTAGGTATTTCAACCAAGAGAGAAGAAAATTAATTTGTTTTGCCTTTTCCCTTTCATTTCTACAGCAATCTCCTAAGTTTTGAAATGCAAACAAAGAATTCAAAATTGTAGAACATTTTGAATCCTCAAGAAGGTGTATATCCAAACCTAATGGTATTTCACAAGCTTTTCACATGGCTGTGAATGCTGAATCCGATGGGATCAGACCTGGTCTGAAACTATTCTTGCTGACTGCTTTTTAAAGCATTATGCAGAAGGATTCTATCATTATTACCAAAATGACAGTCCTATCACCTTTCTCTTGATGCAGTAGAATGAAAATGAAAGCCAGAAAGTGTGAAGGAAAGTGCTTTGAAGTTGGAAAATCTATTATACATCTTTCTTTTTGGGTTGCTAGCATGCTTCAAAAGCTACCACAAAATGTTTGCACTGAAACTGCGTGTTTAGCATTACCTCAAAACGAACACTCAAGTTAATTATAAATTAACGTGATTTAAACTGCTGTGAGCTTTATAGAAGAAGAGTAAAAAGAAAATGATTGGTGGGGGTGAGGGAGATCCAACCAAATCAGGTGGTTATTTTTCTGACAGTGTTAGCTTTACACGGGGATCTGAAAATAGGTGAAGACTTTTTGGGGGTTTTTTTTTCTTTTTTGACGGCTAGCTGGTATGGGCATCCAAACTTTTGACTTGGTGTTATCAGCACCACGTTCTACCCACGTGAGCCAACTGGCCAGGCCCAGAAGATATATTTCCATTTTTTGTCTTTCGTACTTCCAGTAATGGGCTGTTAGACAAGCAAGAAGAGGTATGAGTGAAGCCAACCTCAAATGGGTCCAAAAAGCCATTTTTCAGTAATGCCCTCACAGTATAAATACTGTCCTCCATCAGAAATGTGGCTGAAGAACTACTGTATTTCATTGGTCTAACGCACATATTTTTCACATTTTAAGATCCCTAAAATTAGGATTTGTTTTACGGTTGATGGCATCTGACATTTAATTGGCAGCAATTTTCTTTCATGGTAGTACATGAGATAATGCAGTATCATACGATCTGGACGGCATACTACGTTTGATGAAATGTGTTTTTTTAATAATGTTCCACTGAAAGGCTTTTTTGGACACTAGTATGCCTGGTTATTTCTGTCTTCAGCAAAATGATTTGTATGAACTTTACTTCCCAGCTAAAAACCACATTTAAAGGAGTTTTAGGATTCCCATATACCAAAGAATAGTGTAGGCAATGGGACTTCAGGATTTAAAGAAGAGGGCCGGCCCGGTGGCACACTGGAGAGTGCGCCGCTTGGGAGCATGGCGGCGCTCCCGCCGAGGGTTCGGATCCCATGTGGAGACCGGTTCCCGCTCACTGGCTGAGCGCGGTGCGGGCGCAACACCGAGGGTTGCGATCCCGTTGCCGGTCCCCGGTACGGGTGCAACTCCGAGGGTTGCGATCCCGTTACCGGTTAGTAAAAAAGAGACAAAAAGGAAAAAAAAAAAAAGAAGAAGAAATTTGCATTTGTAGATATTCTAAGTAACTGAGAGTGGTTCTCTGCTTTGTGCTCTTGACCGTCAGAATGACACACACTTGAGGAATGACCGTGGCAAACCAAAAGCAGCAGATTAACCTTGGAAATGTCCTCATATGGGATTACAGGCAACTTCTTTAGTATACTTAAATATTTTCCTGAATTTTCTTTAATAAAGAGATATTATTACAGAGCCATCCATGGGTCAAGACAATAATACCAGTAGCATTCTTTCCATGACACTAATTGTCAAACTGTATACTTTAAATATGTGCAGTTTATGTTATGTCCCTTATACTTAAATGAAACTTTTTCATTTTAAAAAATGAGACTCTGTAATTGAAACGACAATTATTATAATGGATGTGTGACGCAGTGAAGTGAAAACATAAAGAAAGAAGCAACTAAGTCATCCTGAGATTCAGGAAGACTTCAAAGGACAGGTAACCCTTGAGCTGACTTGTGCCGAGCCAGGGAGGAAAAATGAAGTTTGCCAGGTGGGATGTGAACTCCAAGGAGAGGCAGTAAGGACAGGATGCACAGGCTAGGAGCACTCTTGCGTGGCAGTCACAACGTCACTTGTGTTATATCAGTACACACATCACCTCCACTCTTAACTTGCTGGACTCACTTCTGTCGGCCCTAAAGAGCCAGACAGAGAAGATTGCAGCTAGTAGTGTGCTCCAGAGGTGTCTGAAATGCAAATGCATGGAAAGGGCTAGAGATTCCCCAGTCATCTGCATACTGAAGACATTTGCAAGGGGAGCAAAGGCGTTTGACACAGAAGCTATAGCCATGTGGGGTATGGGTGGGGTGGCAGGAGACACAAAAATGGAAAAGACTTCAGTGTCTGGGCCCTTTGGAGAAAGGAGGCTTTGCCTCCCTCTGCCCTGAACCCAGCCTGGCTCTGGCTTCATGAAGAATGAAGGATTTGCATACTCGCTGAGGCACCAGGGTCCTGCAGCTGATGGGGCAGGGCAGTGTCCTCTTTCAAAAGTAGCAGCCACATGTGCTGATTGGCCAGCAGACATCTTATCAGGGTGAGGACGGTGCCCTGTAGACCTAAACTTGAAAGCGGCTTCTTAAGTTGCTGACACCTCCACGAGCAGACTGGAGACACGCTGCCAAATGTTACTAAGAATGATAACGTGCCATCCTTTGTACCACAGAGTGGCACAGCCTAGGCACATTGAGGTTAGAGTCAGTATTTTTGAGCTAACATTTGTTGGTTCAATGCATCTCCCAGAAGACATCATTAATGACTAATAGTCGTTAATTACACAGTTGCTTTAGTTGAAACTTGAAGTTTTTTCTCTCTCTGAAATACGTGATCTTACGATATGTAATCGTAATTTAGGTCATCTGCAAGCTCATCTTTGGTTCTCTGCTGAAGAGTCCATGGTCAATAGCCATCATTTGGGATTTAGGATGCATCAAGAAATATAAAATTCTGTTTCCTGTTAGGGTCAGCAAACAGTCTTAGAAAAATTCCTACTGTTCTTTTTTTTTTTTTTTTCAAAAGAATGAGCTTAATGATGAAAACTATCTCAATTATCATTCTTGTCCTCTTGGTGGTGAGTCTTCCCTCTCTAGTACAGGATGCCTCCAGAGGGCCAAAACGTACAGACAGCTCAGAGGAGTTGGCTAAATGGGACTCACGGTACTTTTCACATATTAAAACTAAAACTAATTTATGTTCAGGTATAAACTCTACATTAATTAGAAAGGAAGGGAAACACACCAGTCTACTTGGGGGATTTAACTGTAGATGTCTTAGTAACAGCATCTATCCAAAACAGGCTAAAGGCATTTTTGCAGATTATAGTTTAGCCTGTCATTTCAGGAACAGTATTTCATCTTCTAAATAATAATCTTCTAAGAAATAATAATCATTTCTAAGAACTGAATCTCAGTTGAGCTTGTTCTTTTTCTCCAGTAATAGCTTTGTTGTTGCCAACATTGAAGGAGGTTTATCAGGCTTCTACATAGGACCCAGTCTTCTCAACAGAGTGGGAATCCCTTTCATTCCTAATTTTCCCACTCAACCCCTCCCCCCCAGGCTGACTCATTTCACACTATTCCAGTGGAATTCCTTTTTAAAACAGACGTTACTGCTTGGGTTTGAATATACCACAGGTCACATTAAATGACCATAACAACTATATTCATGGAACAAAATTCTGGTAAAATATGTAATGGAAGTTACTTTCATTTCACTGGATTTTTGTTCCACACACCAGAATTATAAAGGAGGCTTGCTAGATTTTAAGTGTTGCTACATTTTTTTTGTTACATTATTACCATCTCAATTTATTATTTTTTAAATAACTCTCCCTTATATTTCATATTAAATGAGAATTTTGCAAGGAAAGAGGATATGAATCATCAAGACAAAACTTCACATTTCATTTTAATGCAAATAAAATCTGGTTAATCTCTATTTACCTGAGCAGTAACTAAACTCAAAATACTGTGTAGTACTGACTTTATACCATTGCAGATAAGAGGTTATCTGTAATAATCTTTCCATCTACCAATGTGAGACAGACAAAAATTGTTCTGCAGTGTCCCTAGTGGGATGGTTGCCAGCCTCAACTGCAGAAAGGACGTGGGAGTAAAGGTGCATTCAAAGGAAAGGAGGTACATTAAAGTCAATAATATAATGGATTAATGACCTAAATATGAGAACTAAAACAATAAACCTCATAGAAGAAAACATAGGGTTAAATCTTCATGACCTTGGATTTGGCAGTGAATTCTTAGATATGACACCAAAAGCATGAACAATAAAAGAAAAACTAGATAAATTAAACTATCAAAATTTAAAACTTTTGTGTATCAAAGAACATTATCAATAAAATGAAAAGACAGCTGACAGAATGGGGGAAAATATTTGCAAATCATATATTTGGTAAGGGTGTAGTATGCAGACTATATAAAGAATGCTTCCAACTTAACAACAAAAAGGCAAACAACCCAATTTAAAAAATGGTAAAGGACTTGAATAGATATTTCTCCAAAGAAGATTTACAGACGTCCAACAAACACATGAAAAGATGTTCAACATCATTGGTCTTTAGGGAAACACAAATCAAAATCACAAGGAGATATCACTTCATACCCACAAGGATGGTTATGATTTTTTTTAAATGGAAGATAACAAGTGTTGACAAGCATGTGATGAAATCGAAACCCTCATACATTGCGGGTAGGAATGCAAAATGATTCCACCGCTGTAAAAAATCATTTGGCAGTTCCTCAGAAATTTTAACAGAGTTGCCATATGACCCCAAAGTTCCACTCCTAGGTATATACCCAAAAGGATTGAAAACAGGAACTCAAACAAGTACATGTGTGTTCATGGCAGCACTATTCACAATATCCAAAAGGTGAAAATAGGGCAAACGCCCATCAGCAGATGAATGGGTAAACAAATGGACTGTTGTATATATATGCAATGGATTTTTATTCAGCCACATAAAGGAATGAAGTACTGATATGTGCTACATCATGGATGAACCTCCAAAATGTTATGCTAAGTGAAAAAAAACAGACACAAAAGATCACATATTGTATGATTCCATTTATATGAAATATCCAAAATAGATAAATCCATAGAGACAGATGGAAATTGTTGGTTGCCAGGGGCCGAGGGGCAGGGGGGGAATGGGGAGACACTGCTTAATGGGCAAGGGGTCTTACTTTGGAGGGATGGAAATATTTTGCAACTGTATAGAGGAGTGGTTGCACACATCGTGAATGCACTAAATGGCTCCAAACCGTTCTGTTCGGAATGGTCAATTTTACGTTATGAGAATTTCACCTCAATAAACAAAATAAAAAGTCAATAACACCAAATAAAAGTGATTGTGGACTATATTCCCATAACTGCTTGGCATGCACATTCATGTAAAAGTTTCTCATTGCAGGAGCTGGTAGAGATTATTAGCAGTGCATTAGTTCTGAATGACCAGGAATATATCTCATGTTCAACTTGAGTTTTGAAAGTCAAAATAAGAAAATTAATTGATATTTCTTGTTCTTTCAGGATTCTCAGCTTGTATCCTCCGGACACAATAATCCAAGTAAGAAAAGCTTGTTTCTACAGTTTCATATTGGGGGGAGGGGGACACAGAGGGCAACTGAGGAGGGAAGATGAACATGCAACAGACAGGAGGTTTAAAGGAAATTCACTAAATGGAGAGTAAGATCCATGGTGCCCTTGAGTGCTCATATTCAAGGGAAGGAGGGTCAAAACATAAAATGGTGACTCTCAAAGCAATCCTAGGATAAAGAAACACCATTCTTTATTATTATAAATGATAATACTAATAAATAATAATAAAGTCCCTAGTATATATGGAGTAAAAAAAGGTTTTAAAGGCAAATAACATGTTGTCTAAATGAAAAGAAAGTGAATGGGCAAAGAAGACTCATCAGAAGACCCCAAGATAAATGGCCTTAGATTCCGGGAAGAAAAGTCACAACTTGCTGTGAATGTATACAATGCCTTCTTCTAGAAATAGGCAAATTAGACTGTCTAGGAAGGAGTTTCCTTCTTGGATGAGCAGCTAATAAAACACATGGGCTTTGTCATCAGAGACATGATGTTACCATTCCGTGACGTACTGTTTTAATTCTCTTCTTTGTCACTACTCATTGGAATTAATGTTGTCTTGAACATTAAAAATGCACGAGCTCCTGTCCTAAAATCACACTCACAGATTCGGGCTTTGTTAGTTTCATCACCAGCCAGTGAGCCAAGAACACCCCTCGCCATTACAGAGCTATGTTTGAAGATGGAAATCACCCTGAGCTACTAGATGTGTCTGTGGAACCAAGGCTCACCCATAGGGCATGAGGGTTGGGGAGAAAAGACATCCAGACAAATGCGTTGGGAAGCCCCAGACTTTTAATGCACAGCTAGAGAAAAATCAGTGGAGAGAGATGATAGGATGGCACAGAGATACGCAGGCATATCACTGAGCTCTCCCCCCCCCCCCCCCCCCCCCCC